GGCTCCTTTACTAAACCCTCTTCTGTTCTCTGGTCAAATGTGCCTTCTGTTTCCTACGAGGAACCTGACAGCTGCAGCTAAAGCTGAATATTGGGAAAATGGAAACGTGATGGCAAATTCACAAAGTCATACTGACGGACAGTGAACGACAGAGCCTTCCTGTGGCCTTCCTGTGAAACCCACGTTGTTTGTACAGTGCGGCAGGTTCCTGCCGGTTTCCAGTCACGCACAGCATGGTGCTTCAGTACACAACAGGTCACATACACAACGTGGTCCTACAAGACTCTAACGGAGCTGAACGCTTCCTATCACAGCAGCTGTCACAGTGCCATGGCTCAACGCGTGACTCCCATATTTGCGGTGATGTGGTATAAACAAACCTACTGCACCGCCAGTCGTGGAAGAGTTCAGCACACACAATTATGCAGAGTACAGAATACCTGATATTCTCATCAGTGACCACGTTACTGGTTTAGGTGATTTACTATACTAGACATTTTATCGTGATTTTTAAAGTACTCATCTTACTTATTTAAAAAAGTAACCGTAAAACAGCCTCAGGCAGGTCCTTCAGGAGGCATCCAGAAGAACGCATCATTGTCACAGGAGGTGACAGCTCCATGTGTGTTACTGCCCGTGAAGGCCTTCCAGTGAGACAGGTGTGGATACTCCCAACCCCGTGTAGGCCTAGGCCACTGTGTTTGTATCTTAATAAACAACAACAACAAAAGTTTAAAAAGTAAAAATAAGTAATTTTAAAACTCAGAAAATACTTCTAGAATAAGGATAGAAAGAAAGAAAAAAAATTTAAGTTTATAAAGAAAGTTACAGTAAGTGAAGGTTAATCTCTTACTGAAGAAAAAAACTTTTTATATAAATTTAATGTAGCCTAATTGTACATTGTTTACAAAGTCTACCGTAGTGTACGGTCATGTCCTAGACCTTCACATTCACCCACCACTCATTCACTGACTCACCCAGAGCAACTGCCAGTCCCGCCAGCTCCACTCACAGTGCCTGCCCTAGGCAGGTGGACCTTTTTATCTTTTATACTATTTTATTTTTTATGTTTAGATACACAAACACTTACCACTGTGTCACAACTGGCGACAGTGTTCAGTACTGTACCATGCTGCACAGGTTTGCAGTCTAGGAGTAACAGGCTCCGCCACACCGCCTAGGTGTGCAGGCTACAGCATCTAGGCTTGTGTAAATACATACTACGATGTTTTCACAACGATGAAATCGCCTAACGACGCCTTTCTTAGAACATATCCCTGTTGTTAAGCAACACAGAACTACATATACAAGGCAGTGCTAAGCCCCGTGGCGTTCAACCCTGCAAGGTTGGGGGGCACATCACTCAGGTCAGCTCTCCCACCAAGGGGCGGGGCGCACTGGGAATCTGGATTACAACAACAAAACAGTAAACTGCACTGGCACATGCACAGAAAAAAATATGAATAGCATCTTCATCACGGTTGTCCTCAGCATGTGGTTTCAACTTCACTGTAGATTTCCATAATGTGTGAATTGAGGATAATATAAATTATTTCTGAGATCAGAAAAACACTACTTAAAAAGTTAAAAAAAAAAAAAAAGCTTAGGATTAAAGAACAAAAACATTAACAGAGAAATGTAAGCACATAATGAATCTACAATCAGAGTGTAATATACCACAAACAGTATAACATAGTCTCTACAACTTTAGTGCTTATGATATACACTGTTCTGAGCCTTTCAAATTATTCGCACATTGAATCCCCACAACAGTCCTATGAGGTAGCTTCTATTTTCTCCCTGCTTTACGAGAAACAGACAGAGGCTCAGAGAGGTTAGGCCCCTTGCCCAGGGGCACAGCGACAGGTGACTGGCTGAGTTCCTCTCAAGGGATCCGTCTGACCTGGTTATGAAATGGTGAGTCTCTGGTATCACAACAATCATTTTCTTTTCAGAAATATACTTTTATTTTCCCCTCTTGGTCTCCATCACCTACGTATCTCTGTCCTTTACTCGGAATGAACCAATGCTTGATGGCCCTTGCCACAGTTCACAGCAAAGCACACACTGACTTTGCACAAAAACGGCTGCACAGGGAATGATCAGCTGACTTTAATGACTCGGAGAAACTTCTACATTCAGACATCTCAGAGGATCCCTCTCATTTCTGGTCAGTCGCCCCATCAATCAGCGGACTCACGGCCCTCAGGCTGAGATGTGTTGTCCATGTGGAGCAGGCACTGTAACCTCTGGCCATTGCCTCCAGGAGGCAGAATACTGATTCAGAGGCCAAAAGCAGTGCTTTGTGCTTTAATTCCATCTCCTAGTAATGGCTCAGAAAGACAAGGAAGGCCGGTGCAGTGGCTCACGCCTGTAACCCCAGCACTTTCGGAGGCCGAGGCGGGCGGATCACCTGAGGTCAGGAGTTCGAGACCAGTCTGCCCAACATGGCGAAACCCCGTCTCTACTAAAAACACAAAAAATTAGCCAGGTGTGGTGGTGCATGCCTATAATCCCATCTATTCAGGAGGCTGAGGCAGAAGAATCGCTTGAACCCAGGAGGTGGAGGTTGCAGTGAGCTGAGATCGCGCTACTGCACTCCAGTCTGGGCAACAAGAGCAAAACTCCAACTCAAAAAAAAAAAAAAAAAAGAAAGCAGGTTTTGTTGTTTTACTTTCTAATGGAAGATTTGCTAGATTCCTTTAAAAAGACTTTCTAGAGCCAATCATTTCAGTAGGCTACTTTTAGATTAATACCATTTTATACAGTAGTGAATATATGGAATATAATATATGAAATTTATATTTGTTTTTTCCTTCAATACATACAGCCTAGCACTCTAGTTCACTGCCATAATCTTATATATGGAGGCACAGGCAGATAAAGTAACTTGTGCCAAGTCACACAGCCAGCTAAGGGCTGACCTGACCCTTCCTATCTCCTCAGTCTGACATGAGGACCCCACAGTATGCCTACCTCACTCACCCTTCAGTATCCATTCCACTAACTAGAAAACTGATTTCGCAAACACCATTTTAACAGTGTGGCAGGAATTAACAAACTAAGTAGAATGGCTTTTTTTTTTTTTAATGTAAATCCATTTTCTGCTTATTAATGCTATACTAAAAACATCAAAACAGAAGTAAACTTCTTTTGAGAGACAAGGTCTCTGTCGTCCAGGCTGGAGCACAGTGGCGTGAACACAGCTCATCACAGCCTCAAACTCCCAGGTTCAAGTGACCCTCCCACCTTAGCCTCCCAAGTAGCTGGGACCACAGGTATGCGCCACCATACCCAGGTAATTTTTAAATTGTTTGTAGAAATGGGGTCTCACTATATTGCCCGGGCTGGTCTTGAACTTCAGGGCTCTAGCAATCCTCCCACTTGAGCTTCCCAACGTGCTGGATTTACAGACGTGAACCCTGCCTGGCCAGAAGTAGACTTATTACACATTCTGTTTACATTTTGATCAGTGAACTTTTAGTGACATGTACAATGAGCCAGCTATCCTTCTGGTCATCCTAGGAGACTACTGTATCACTCATATCTCATCAGGCAGAAAAAGAAGGTAAGCGCCAATGGTCTAAGAACACCAGTTTCATAGGGCCAAGAACACAGAAATCAAAGTCACTCGTTCCAGATGCATCTCCTGAGTGCACGCTGGATATGAGTCCTGTGCCAGGCACTGGGCGTTGCAGTGATGAGCAGCAGCTGGGGTGGGCGGTAGAGGAGAGACCCAAGCAGGGTGAGATTCCCAGGCAGCCAGCACCAGCCAGGACAGAAAAGGCAGAGCTGGGGATCACTGGTGGGAAGGCCAGCGCACAGAGACACTGCAAGAGGCACCCGGGGGACATTTGTGGGGTGTGTAGGGGAAAGGTCTGGGCTAGGACCTACGGTGGTATCCATGCTATCCACAGCTGTGTGACTAGGTATGTCCTCAAGAAATCGAAGTCAACGGACAAGACCCTGCCCGGGTCACTGTGCCTGCCAGAGCCCAGTGGCAGGCAGAAGGAACTGCAAAAGGAGAGCCCGGCCCCAGAGGGCAGTGGCTGGTGGAGGAGTGACAGACTGGGGGAGTCGGGGGGCATGGAACCAGGAGAAGGGAGTGGAGAAGAGGGGCGCCGCGCTGCTTCCAGGGCCAGGGAGCAGCATGAAGACAGACAAGGGTCTGCTGCATCTGGAGCTGCAAGGCCGTCTTCTTGGCAGGAGCAGTTTCAATGGAGTGATGTAGATGAAGACAGCTTTTTTTTCAACTTACCGAATTGGTACAGTTTTTGTTTTTCATTTAATAGATACCAAAGAATCCACACAATAGCTGAATGGATATAAGTCACATCGTGTTACTTCTCTGCTTCAAACCCCCAAATGGCATCTCATCTCATCAGATTAAAAACCCACCAAATGCACCATGACCTACCCGCCTTCTGCCGTGGCCTCCCCTCCCCCAACTTGTTCCAGCCACACTGGTTTGGCTGCTGGGTGCACTTTCCCACCACAGTCCTGCCTCAGAGCCTCTGCACCTGCCGAGCCCCTGCCCTTTGCTCACCCGACAGCCCACAGGACCCAATCCTGGCCTCACTTAGGCCTTGTCCCAAGACGGGCCCTTTGTCACCCCTAGCTACTCACCACCCTGTTACTCCGGGTTACTTCTCTCCCTGGCCTTTGTGACCTGACAGTTTCATCTATTTGTTTACTCTGTCTCCCCCACTAAAACACATTTTCAAAGACATCAAGAATTTTATCTGACACTTAAATCCCTTAAATCTGGAACGGTGTTGCACATAGTGGAAGCAAAATGCCTGTTAAATTAATAATGGCACTCAATAAATTAAGTATCAGACCAGGGGGTTCAGGAGTTGTTTGGAAGAGAAAATGCATCTAAGTATTGGTTGGTCGTGCTAACACCTAACTTGAAACGTAATTATTTCAAATTTCCCTAAGTTTCCCCATTATGCAAGTAGACCCCACACGTGCAGCAGCCCCCACACAGATGCACTTACAGTAATCGCAGGTGGTGTAAAGAGCGATCGTCCTGCTGGAGCCACGGCCCTTTCTCGAACTTAAGGTATTCAATGTCCTCTACCACCTAAGACAGGAAAAATTCAGGTTAAACAGAGAACCCCATTTTAGAAATGTAAATGAAGTAGCTTGTTTTTGAGACAGAGTCTGGCTCTGTCATCCAGGCTGGAAAGTAATGGTACAATCACAGCACACTGCAGCCTTGGCCTCCTGGGCTCAAGCAATCCTCCCACCTGAGCACCTCTGCCTCCCGAGTTGCTGGGACTACAGGCGCCCGCCACCACACCTGGCTAATGTTTGTATTCTTAGTAGAGATGGGGTCTCGCCATGTTGCCCAGGCTAGTCTCTAACTCCTGGGCTCAAGCAATCCTCCTGCCTCAGCCTCCCACAGTGCTGGGATTACAGACATGAGCCACCATGCCTGGCCAAGAGGTAACATTTTAATACATTGTAAGCTATGAATATCTAGCAGGAAGAATCACACCATAACAGTCAGAATGAAAGTGAAGCTGGCTGACCTTTAATGAGATGGTGGGGTTGAGTGTTGCATGGCAGTATGGCCTTGCCTAGCTAACACTCAGGGATCAGGAAGTAGTGCAGACACTACCCTGCAGGCTGGGAGAACAAGGACAGGCGAGAACAATCAAGACTAGGGAGAAAGATCAGCCTTCAGGACAGGCTACTCATTTCTTCCCAAGTAAGTTCATCCTAAAAGGCAAAACCCAGCCTCTCAAAATGACAAAAGAATAAGATATAAACCCATTTCCTAGAGAGACCTAATGATCCAGGTGCCCGGCCCCAAGGCTGGCTGTCTGCACAGTCTGACCTTCCAGAGGAGTAATCCTTCCATAAGCATTCTTTCCTCAAAACAGGCCAAACTCAGGAACCCTCTTTAGTTTCGAGAATTTGAGTAGATTCAAAAACAAACTCAAATAATACAGTGTAAGAGACAAAATGTACTATTCTTCTGCTAAGATACATGCCACCTAAACAGTTTCTCAAAGGTATATAAATACTCTAAAAACAGAAACAGAAGGCCGAGGAGAAAATGAAATGTAATTTAATCAGTCTGAGTAGAATAAACCAAGGTCTCAAAAGAACTTTACAACTGGTAGTAGGAGAGCCTGGGCGAGAATGCAGGGCTTCCCTCTGCAAGGAGAATGCTCCTCTCTGTGCAGAAAAGCTCAGTTAACCTCCCTCTTCTCATCCTCCCAATGCTGAGAGGCAAATGAAGCGTGCTTGTCATCCCAGCAGCCAACTATGCAAGGCTTCTCTGTTACACGGACGCCACTCACACTTCAAGACCAGATCCTAAAATGTGTATTTTCTTCTAGAATTGTTATACCTTGTTTTGTTTTTAGTAATTTATGCTTAATACATAAAATACAAAATAAAAAACTTGTTTTTTAACAAATGGATGTTCAATTGCCTCAGTACCATGTAAGAAACCATTTTCCTCTACTTCCATTTTTGTAATTATCCTTTAAGGAACTAACTTTGCCAAACTGAAGATATACACAGGTGCATACGTGTCTCTGGACTCTTGTTTTGTTCCATTAGGCTCTTTATTAATTCTTGCATTAACACCACAATGCTCTCCTTACTATAATCATACAGTTTGCTTTTATACGTGAGAGGGCAAATATTCTTTCGTTACTCTTCTTCAGATGTTTTAACGTTTGTCTGGCTATTATTCAAAAAGTTCCCTGAAAACTACACCAAGATTTACTAGACTTTCACAAAATACACTGATTTAGGGAAAACTGTTATCTTTACATGTAAATCTTTCCCATTAACTAATCTTTCAATTCTCCATCTCTTTAATAAAAATGGTGGAGTGGATGGCCCCCGATTCCGTGGCCTCTATAATCTTCAGATCATAGAAACTGAATTACTTAAAAGAATATCAAAACCTTATGGCCAGGGGAGTGTGGTGATGGATTTGACTGGCACTGCTTTTAGGCGATAAAATAATGATGTTTGTTAAGACCACTGGGAATCTAACTGACGATCTGATTTGCAAGAACCTTACACATGAATCAAATGTAGGAATAACTTTCAACTTTTCAACCATTTTCTTACCTTTGTTGAATCTTCAGCTTCTCTTGCAGAATACTGTAAAATCTCACATTTTTCACTGTAAGAAAAAACAAGATGAAATTCAATGTAAACTTTTCCAAGCTGAAGTTAAATGTGCTAATGAATACAAACCGCTAAAGTCTCCTGCTCGAATTTAAAACCTCACGTTCTCTGCACTGGGCACCATGCTGGGCATGTGAGGGCACATTAGAGCTTGACTGGTTCAGGAGGACATGTTGAAAGAAGCCAGAATGTTCTCATGGCTGGCTTGACAGTGACAACAGCAGGTCCATTTCCTCATTTCCCTTCTCCTGACTACACTGCCCCCAAGCCAAGGGCGTGACAGACCACAGCCATCACTGTCCACAGGAACAAGGTACATGAGCCACGTCGGCAGCTGCACATACCATCGCCAAATGCAGTGCCCGCTGCAGGGAAGGACAACGAAGCCCAGGGCCTAACCGAGGACAGGCACAGAGGGCACAAAACTGGCAAAGTGGGACACAGGTTAATTGAGCTACTAGGATTTAGAATTTACGAGACAAATGAAACCCTCAAAGTAACCTGTTTCAGCCAAACTATACAACAGGGTAGCAGCAACTCAGTTATCTTCATCCTTGATCTTTAGTCCGGCCACTGAGAATTTAGCACCAGGTCCCAGAAGGAAGGGAGCAGCAGTTCACCATGCCCGCTTCCCCCATGCCTACACTGACCATTCAGAGAGCTGGCTGTCCAGCCAGGGGATGACTGAAAAGCAGCAGGTTAGCATGTCCATACCTCACCAGGTGAAGAAGCTGCCCCTGCCATCATCTCCAGACCACCCAGAGGGAGCCTATGCAGTCCCAATCCTGGCCAGAGAGGCCAGCAGACAGGCCGGAACAGGAGGCTCAATGGAGTGCCCACCACGGCAGAAACGCTGGAAACCCCTTCCAGCATAATATCAAGGGGCTACTGTGGCCCACGCATCAACTGCCCAGTATAAACAGGGGACATCTCATTTAGGTGCCGGTTGCAGGAAAGGACAACAAAACCCAGGGCCTGACCGAGCACAGGCAGAGGGCATCCTTATACCGGAGTACCCTCCACACATTTAGGATGTAAACATACAGGGTAAATAAATACTCCCAAGAATGTACAAGCTATTTATTCTCATACTGAAATCAGCATCTGACCCCTACAATGGTACCAAACAAACTTCACCTACCCTGCTGACCATCTTCAACAGACCACTGGTGAGTCACATTCCACGGTATAGGTAAAGAGCTTGTATTTTATTAAGTCTCATCGTTACTGACACGTATCACTTCCAAAGTGTAGGAAAAAGAAAAAAGTCTTCAAGCTCTACAATCACTCAGTAACACATCTGTTCCACACAAGTCTGTAACACACAATTCACAGAGTCATACAACTGGGTAACAGATTCTTACTGCAACAAGGTCACTGCATCCCTCACAGCGCTCTTAAGATCAACATAAATGGTCAGAAACTGTAAGCAGAGTGAACAATAAATCCATAGTGAGGAAAGTAACTTACTGCACTTGCCATTAGGGCTGGCAAGGAAAAGGTCACACTAAATACAGGACTTGCTGTATTGCTTCCTGAACCGTCTACAGCTACTCATTGTTATTACGAAGAGAAAGGCACAAAGTGACAAAGAAGAGTAATTCCCTCTGCAAGTCACCTAAGAGAATATTCAACTGAAGCGTACAGGAGACAGAGGTCTTAAGCATCCCTGATGAACAGGGCTGGCACAGAAACATTATTTGTTCTCACACAGCAATATGAAAGGTCACAAACTATTTGACATACTTGCACAAGAGTGGACATGAGAGATCAGGATGATGTGACAGGTACATTACACACACATAACTGAACAGACATCAGCTGAAGCCCCACCAGGAGCCAGGCGCTGTGTGGGGTACGGAAAGTAGGGAAGACAGGGCTCCTGCCCTCAATGAGCTCCAGACCCCAAACTACCAGCTGAGAGCAACCTGGAGAGCCATTTTCTATCTTCTGTGTGCCTCGATTCAGCATGCTGACAATCTCGGCAACAGACAAATAAAACCGCCTCTGTCCAGTCACATCCGCTTCTCATTCCCACTGCCTCGTGAAAGGAGGCCTAAAATAAGAAGGTATCAAGTGTAGAGTCAGGGATCTGGAGGAAACTCCACAAAGGACTGGGCCGGCAGTTCACGTGCCACCTCAATGGTGGTTATTCCCACAGGTCGCTCAGGGCCCAGGAGAGCCACAAGCTGTATTCCTGAACCTGCAAGTTACTTCAACACTTCCAGAGCCTCCCCAGCTCCTCACCCACCTTAGAACAATCTGAAACAACGGACAGTTACAGAACTCGCTGCATGTCAGGCTGGCCACTCAGTGCTTCTCTTCTTGTCTCTGAAATCTCAGAGGAGATGATTCTTTTTCAGAAAGGCCTTCCCTACCCTGTCTTGAGTACCTCTGTGTCTCAGCTAACACTGACACTGGGAGCTAGCATTGTTGGAGTTGAGTAAATAAACAGATGTTGAACAAGGGAATGGCCAAATGTTTGTGAAACTAAGTGATACTCATACTCATTAACACATTCATAATTAAGGTAATGAGGATAAAGACATGTACGCCTAAGATCTGGGTCATAAATATTGACAAAGCCAGAAAACACACATTCCTACGAGAGTTAGCTCATTGTGCCTCTTAAAATCCCACAATACAAATATTTTGGAAAAGGCTGCAATGCTCTTTAGGCATTTATAAGCAACATATACAAAAACAGTGAAGCATCACCATATATCAGCATGTGACAGAGAGAAGCGCTAACACAGGAGGAACTGCTCAGAGGAAGACAGGAGACAAAGAACTTCAACGGAGCCATCCTCTTGTCAGGTCGATCTGCTTTATTTCAAACACTACTATTAAAACTAAACAAAACAGTTCTCTTACTTAGTTTTGATTTTACTGTTCATTAATTACCTATGATCTAGCGATATTGTCTTCTAAGGTCTAAGATCTAACAATAAAAATATTCACTGTTTAACTAAACGATTGTTTAAATATACAAGCCCAGGAAACCTAATATTGTTTCTGTCGGGAAATAATTCCTGAATTCTAAAACACTAATGGCCAATAAATTTTAAAATACAACTCGTTATAGGCTTCTTGAAATTTTACATAAAATAGTTTCAGCCAAATTTCATAGTGAATTTCTAAGAGAAAACTTCTAAGATCCAAGCCCATCACAAAGCTGCAGTTTGATCTTGGTCTACAATTCAACACTTAAAATAATGCATACTGCACAGAGTACATCTGGTACTCATTCTTCAATGTGTGACAAACGACCCCTACACCAATTGGCTCCCATCAATCCATAGGCTTGAGCTGTCAGGTAAGATCTACTTTAACAATGAACAGAGACTGTATCTGTTCCTAAAACAAGAGCTAAAAGCACAGCAAGCCCAAGTGGTAAGAAATAAACGCCTGAGGCTTAACGAGTCTACGAGGGTGGCAAAGCAAAAGAAACTCGCCCCGTGCGCAGGCTGAAACCAGCCATCATTTTGCTGATGCTGTAGCTAGAAATTCCATTTGAGAACTTATGAGAAAGCTCATTCTCAGTGATGTTTCTGAAGCCAGAAAATCTCCAAGAGTAATTTTTGAGCCTGAAACTCTAGGGTCAACTATCTCTGTTTATGCTGTTTATTCACGTTGGCTCCAGATACTTCCCTTGGTATTGTGGCCTTGGAAATAGGACAGTACAACAGGTTAAAAGGAAGCCAGAGGCCACCCTGTCTTCTTACCACCTAAGAAAGAAACGCTCACCACAAACAAGCAGAGATGACATAAACGTTAATACTTATGGTACAGAAAAAACTCGCTAAATAAAACATTTCTCTTACTTTTTATTGTTTATTAATTACCTACGGTCTAACAATATTATCTTCTGAGGTTGTTCATTGTAAATATTCAGTATTTAACTAAAATAAATTTTAAAATAAAACTTTTTTCTAAAATTACTATATCTTTCTTTATTTCCAACTTCACAGTTACTTTGAAATTTTAAACAACAAGAACATGAGATTTTTAGGCACCAAAAGAGGCTTAGGTTTTTAAAACGTATGAGAAATAGTATAAAAATCTTCAATTCAAGCATTATTCAAACAATCTGAGTTTAACTGGACTTGAATGAGTGTGGCAGACACTCCTTCTACACGAATATACCCCAGAAGCACAGAATGACAAGCCACAGGACAAGCGAAACCACATTTTCCGTGTGCTTTCAACAAAGAAAGAAAGGGGGAAAAGGAAGAAAGACAGTCTGGTGGTGGTTCCTTCATCTAATCCAAACATCTCTCAAGGACATCAATGAAGAATGTCTAGAGAAAATGTTATCTTTCACGAATTTTCTCCATGAATACACTCCCAATCAATCCTTCTAGGTAAACACAAATGTTTAGTTGACACCTGAAGTAAAAATACGTAAGTTCTCTACGGTAAAACCTGTCATGGAATAGAGCTTGGTTTACCTCTAGCATCAAAACACTTCGGAAATATAGCAGAGCAAAAGTATTGATAAGAAAACCAAAATAAACAAACCAATAAACCCCACAAAACTCAAACTGAAATGTCTCCTGTTTTTCTTATTTATAAACATCAGATTAAACATCTCAGACAATATCCACTGCAGTAAATAAGACAGAACACTGCCCGGGCTGCTGGAGCCTGAGAAACGACTGGCGAAGAAGTTCTAGTCCCGTAAATCGGTCGTGCGTTTGGCTCACCTCATCTCAGGGAGGAAGGTCTTCTTATAGGCATTCTCAATGTCCTGCAGATAGGCAGAGGTGATCTTCATTTCATGTGGCTAAACAAAAGCAGAAAAATCAAACGCGAACATTTAGAGTCCATTTTCTTTGACCTGTGCATATATAAAATGCAAATCACTGGGCATTACTTTCTCACCACTCACGTCGGGCACTGTGGGGACTGTGGGGTGACAGCAAAGGGCCCCAACGTCAGCTAGAATCATTCTCCATCTACGAGAGTGAACACCTGAGCCTGCCCACGTGCTCCCACAGCGTGACTTTCTCCACACATCCTAAGATGCGTACTTAGGGCAAGAAAGAAGCCTGTTATCAAGCAGCACTGCCTGTCTTTCCTGTCTGCCTCATGCCTGAGTGTAGCAAAGAAAGAGCACCAAAAATTGGGGGCAGCGGCCTGTCTGTCCGCCACCTGTCCCCGGCACACCCTCTTCTTGTCCCCTGACTCTCCCTGCATCTCTCCAACTTGCTCTCCACCTTCATCGCTCACCCATCTCCCCGCAACCACTCCTCCCACTTTCTACAGCTCTCACCTCCCTCATCATCTGAAATGTGCTATGCCAATTTCAGAAACTTGAAAATCCAATTACGAGTAGCAAGTTTTAAAATGTAAAACTCCTTACAGTTTCACACTATCTTCTCAGCCTGTTTCATTTGCTTCACGTCATTTTCCTCTATTTGACATATTTATTATGTATCTCCTTGTTTGCTGTAGGTCTCCTCATCAGCACACGAGCTCACGGGGAGGACCTCACCCACCCTGCGCACTGATATGTCCCCAGCACCACCAGGGTCCGGTACACAGTGGATGCTCAATCAACACAGGAGAGAGGAAGGAAGAAAGAAATGAACAAGCCTGCTGTTTCAACTTACAAAATGATGAAAACATTCTAAAACTGGATTACGGCAAGAGTGGCAACAACTTGGTAAATTTACCAAAAATCATTCCATCGTACCCTTAAAATGGGTGAATTTTATGAAGCATGAATTATACCTCACTAAAGCTATTCAAAGTAAGAAAAACGCTATCATTCAAAGAATATTTACTGAACACATAATTAATTCCAGTAATGAGATGGGGTACAGGGAAAGGATGATAAAGGCAATGTTGCACTTCATTGCTCTGTCAAAAGGGGGAAAGGCTGTAATTGGGAGTTCTATTTTCCAATAAGAACTTGGTGTCTGAGCAGAGACCATCTTTGTTCACCTTTGCAGCCTCCAAGGTGCCTGGCACAGGTGCCTGGCATATAGGAGGTGCTCTGTATTAGAGGAGTGAGTGAAAGTAACAGAAGTATAAAAGAGGTGATACGATTCTAAATCTCTATCATTAGCTACGTTCCAAGTAGAATAAGATTAAATGTTTACTGATTATAAAAGAAACTCTAGTGTAATCCAAGCCCATAACATGCAACACAACACAACCATCTCAGAAATCAGACCTGAAGTTAATTGATAAAACATGTAGTTATTGATCACTTTGACTGTTTTCTTAGAATCTAGAAATGGTTTTCGGATATTCCCATCAGTTATTCCCAAAAGCTGCAATACTGAGACACAGACTGCATTGAAATAAAAATCAAAATAAGAGCACAGACTTACTGATAATGGGACATCTTTTATAAAATGGGGTAATTTCAGCTGGTGACAGTATTAAAGACTTTACTTGGAAAAATTAAAAAGTTGACAGCTCTACTTTAGACCTCAGAATTATTTCTGAAATACTGTTTTCCCAGATAACAAAAGAATTACCTAGAGAATGTTAAATATATGACTTTGTTTTTCCCAATAAATGTCAGCATAATAAGCAAAAGTGTCCAGTTATTCCACTGAGAAACAAACATTTTGAACTTGCAGTTCCCTCCTTTTGCCACTTGATGGAAGGTTCTTGGAAGTCTAACTATGCAACATACTTAAAAGCGTATGCTTAAACAGTGACAGGTCCAGAGCGGCAATAGAAAGGCATACACAGATGTCTTGCTGTTTCTACTGTTGCAGCAGAGAGAAGGAAAGTTAGTCTCATGGATCTTTCAGGAGCAGCAAAAAATACCCAGAGCTTTACTGTGGCCCTCACACCATCCAGAAAGGTATTTCCTGAGCACCTACAAGAATTCCAGCAGTGAGGGTGGGCACCAGAGCGAGGAACAGGCAGGAAGTCCTGCATTTTCATCACAGTATCAAAAAGGAGACCATATTCTCCTCCAGGGAAAAATAACACAATATTAAACAAGAAGTCGCCACAGGGCAAAGACAGCCCTTGTTTCATCTCTGGATCCTCCACCAAGCCGCCAACACAGCTACCCACAGCCTCAGGGTCCCTTCGAAAGGCATTGTTTCCAGGCCACCTAATTAAGATCCAACGAAAACTACAAAGAGTAAATGGATGTGTGTGGAGATCACCGCTCTACTGTGCTGGAATCAGTAAGAAAATGGGGGAGAGGCACGATTTGCGTTAAATAGATTGAAGTGATGAGGGATAGAAGAAATTGCTTTCAATGTGAAAGAAAATGATAGGACACAAAAACCTCATCACAGAACAGAAAGGTACGTGACAGAGGGATGGAGGATGCTCTGCCAGGAGGCCCTCCCCAGTCTCCAAAGTTTAAACAGCTGAGGGGACTCAGGGACCATAGTGGGACCGCAGAGCACTGGTGGGCAGCAGGTCCTCAGGCGGCGGCACCAGGCCAAGCCCTGGGGTCTCCCCTCCACCCCTGCAGATGCCCTCTCTCGGGTGGGACCAGGGTGTGTGTCACCCCTCCTAGTGAGGACTGGTGGGAATTAGTGTGCTATTAACACAGGGCCTTTAGTGCTGATCTACATGAAAAATGGAGACGCCTGGCCTTTGGTTTCAAACTGCATTACATCTCCTTTCTTCTGAATCCTCCTCTGGACCTCTGGAACGGTCACATCGATGTAGATCACCAGGTGCGGGGGCAAGTATTCGCAGGCAGTGATGTTCTTCACGTCGTTGTAGTGGTCCACACCTGGCACACAAGAGAAATGGGCATCGTCACCTACCAGTCCCCACACAGGTTTCTAAAACACGCTACTCCCTGAATAAAAGGGCAAACATACGTGCAATTCTCAGAGAAAGCAGCAATCTACAGACCCTAGCTCAGCCACAGTTCTAAGCACTGACCACACACGGCATGTGACTGTGCTCCAGGTGCCACGGGGCATGTGCAGACAGCAGCTGTGGTGTCCACAACCCTGCAAACAGGGCTTCTCACCTCTACTGTATTTACAAACCAAAGGACTGAGGACCAGAGAAATTAAGCTACTTACACAAGTAAAATATCAGCATTTAAACTGTGACCTTAATCATCCTAAAAGACAGATCTTTAGCACATCTTAGCCACATTTAAGGGGTCACTTTTGCTTCTGAGGCAAGGCGTAGTTCACGCAAGATGGAGGTCACAGTTCAGTGATCTTTGAACTGAAATATATTCCATATACCTGCAGTGTATACCTGCTACTATGTTTCTTCATAGTAACAATAGATACAAGAGTCTGGTCTTCTCTAGAAAATAAAAAACAGCTTTAAACACTTTATTTTTCAAATAACTCAGCTGAAAATCAAGCTACATTTATCCCGGTTCAGTAAGCATCATCAGTTGCACCGAAGTATCTACTGAGTCTGATTTAGTGACAAAATGAAATTGAAAGCAGCTAAGGCTGAGGAATAATTTTCCTAAAGTGATCACTACACAGAATGCATAATCCAGACGGCATCCGCAGGGCCCATGCCACCCAAGGGAACCCTGCCGCTCCTCAGAACACTCTACACCCGCACGTGCTCGTGCACACCCGACCTCCCGGAAGCCAGCACAGAGTGCACGCCAGTGCATGTGGAGAGGCCACGTTGAGAAGCCATCCCCTCTGCAGCTTTTCACATGTGGAACCTTCCAGAAGTGACAGATGGCCACACTAGGGTCCACAGAAAGACAGTTATTTTGAGGAAATGGGCTGGGCACAGTGGCTCACGCCTGTCATCCTGGCACTCTGGGAGGCCAAGGTGGGCACAGATCGCTGGAGCCCAGGAGTTCAGGACCAGCCTGAGCAACATGGTGAAATCCCATCTCTACCAAAAATACAAACATTAGCCAGTCTCCTAACCTAGTCTCAAAATAAATAAATAAAAATTTTAAAAGTTAAATTAAAATTAAATTTAAAGAAAAGTTCCAGTGAGTATTCCTAGTAACCTACTCTAAAGGCGATCACGGGATGGGCCTTGGCTCATGGTCAGGGATGGCACGAGCTAAAGAAAAAGACCACCCAGGAGGAGGTGTGACAAAGCGAAGGATGGAGGCTGCCAGTGGAGTACCGTTCACCTGAGCGTAGAAACAAACCCGCAGCCAGGCAGAGCACACGGGGCCTCAGGTCTGCTTCCTGACTGCTGGGCCGGTAGCAGGCTGGGCTCTCCTGCTGCTGAGATGAAACCTTCCTTCATCGAGTCTCTGCTCTCACCTTCCTTCCCGCCGATACACTCACTTCTCAGGTGGTTCCCACCTTGCTCTATGCCACCTGTCCTTTAGCCAACATGATCTGCTTTCCCCCAGCCCAGCACTGAAACGACTCTGGCTAACGTCACCAGCCCCCACAAGGTGAAACGTGACAGTCACTTCTCAGTTCTCATCACAGTTACAGCACATGTGACACCAACAACCAACTCTCCCCACATCCCTTCTGCTTCCTCCTGTGCACCTCTGATCATTCAGCTTCAATCCGTCAGGGGGGTCTCATCTCCCCAGAAACAGTCCCCCAAGGATCTGGTCTCAGCCCTCCCCCATCACTACTTGGGCTTTCCCAAGAAAAGCATGCCCTTGGTCAGTGCTGGACCCCCAACACCTGCAGACTACCTCCAGCCCAGGGCAGTCCTCAGACTTCAGCAGACACTCAGCAGACGCCAACAGGTGTCTCCTGCCACCTTGCCGTGGGAACCTCACACTCAGGAATCCGACCTACCCAAACATGAAGCCACCTGGGTCCACTGCCCCTGTGCATCCTTCCCCCTTAGCAGCCCACCAGCCAGGGCAGGTCCACACCACTCCCCACTGTGCACGCAGGAAGCCACCCACCCAGACCTGCCCAGTGTCCCTCCTGAGCAGCAACTCCCATTGCCCAGCGCAGCCTCCCTGCTGGGGATGCCTGTCCCACCCCAATTTCCTCCCAGATAGGCTCCTTCCACTTGCGTCTCTCCTCACCAAATGCATCCTTCAGACGAAGGCCTGCAACCATTTTAAACTCACATCTAACCACCTCTGCTATGCTAAAGACCTTCCAGTGGTCCCTCACTAGTTTCAGGACAGAAGCCAGCATCCTTGCCAAGGCGCAGCTCCTTCCTCGTGCAGCCTCAGCCAGCGTCATTCTCCCCCAGCACCCAGCCCTCACTACAGGACACCACCACCAGCCTGCGGCACACGCGGGCTTCTCCACCATCCCCACGCCTCCCTCACTCCTGCTGCACTACAGATGACAGGCCATTCGTCAAAACAGCTGTCCCTGACACTATCCCATCTCCCAGTTGGTTACACATTTCTCCTATGTGCCCCTAAAGCAGCCAGGAGTAATGCTCAGGAGCTGCTAAGTACACTTGATTGCAATTAACCATCTCCGCTGGTTCAACAGCCCGCAACCCTGGGCCTGTGGGAGCCTTGTCTTACGTTTCTTCATATTCATATCCCGAGCACCTAAGAGAACCTGGCACACCACAGGCACTCCAGAAACACCTGCTGGTGACCTGACCCGCTGCTCAGCATACCCAGGGAGGATCAGCCCTCATCAGAAGCAAGGGCTTGCAGTGCTCTTGTGGGCGGCAAGCTCACAGGTGGAATACCCGCAACACCAGGACACACGAGCAGCCAGGAGCAGGCGTCTCCTCCGCAGAATCGTCACCTGGCTTGCTTTGGCCTCCTCTTTCACTCACTAACCAATAGTACTTCCTCTGAGTTCCCAGATTCCAGTTTTCCACTGGCTCCAGCCACCTCAGTCTACAGATGAAAACGCCGTCAGTCAGGCTGTCCACCAGGCCTGTTCAACACACCACCCAACAGAGTCCTAGTCACAGACACCCCAACCCCACCCTGACTCCTCAAGGTCAGCCTGCTTCAAACCACGTGGTCTTTGTTCCTTTCCATTTGCCACTTGTCAGACCTTCCCCAATACAGCAACACAAAGCTACTGTCCTGAAAAATGGCAACGTGTCAGAGGGAAGGACTGCGGTGATGCCGGCAACTGGCAGGGCCAACATCCCAATTCATCAAAATCATACACTAGAAACTGGAGCGTTTATTACAATTAGAGCTACAGCCTAGGTATTGCTAGGGCAGGCTGAGCGCGGGGCAGGTTCTAACGGGAGGCTGTGGGGACTGCAGTTTAAGCTGTGTGTGTTTGAGGTCCAGGGCTCCAATCTGCTTTTACAGGGAGACATGATAGCACAAAAGACACCTATTTTAGGAGGGAGAAAGGGTGGAAGACATCTTAGGAAGTCCCTTTTTCCAGTGGAGACCGATTAAGTAATGGCATTTATTCATCAACAAACATTCATAAACACAGTAAGTGCAAGGTGAGTCTATTACAGCCTTTGCAAAGACACACCACACACCCAGAAGCCTGTCTGCAACCCTGACTCACACTGCTTTCGGATGAATCCCTGGTTGTACATCGCCTCCAGGAACACAAAGTCACTGAAGATGGAGCGCTCCAATACAACACCTTGTCCTGTTTAAAAACAAGCAAACAGAAACTGAAAATCAGACACAGAGCACAGCACTGTCAACTGATCACTGTATTTCAGAAAAAAGAAAATAACAGTCACTTACAATTCCATTTCCACACCAAAATGCTGAAAAGAACATACACATATTTAAAAGTGGAAAGTCATTTTCAAAAACTGAAATTGTCTTTTCAGTTTTGAGCAATATAACATTGTTTCATTCAGTCAGCTATAACGGAAAGCATCCAGTTAATACAAAAAGTGCTTTGTTTTTAAATAATGTATTCCATCCCTACAGTGTCCACCCCCATCCTGCTCCTGCCCCCACCATTCCAGTCAGGTCTACCAATGCTGGGCTACTTCTCAACCTCACCTCCGTCCACTCCCAGCCTCACTGGCTGTGTTACTATCACAGCAGCCCCGTCGGAGACTGGTGCAGCTCAGAGCACTGGTCCCAGGTTCCCAGCCAGCCTCCCTGTGGTCAACCCTGCTGTGTCTGGGCAGAGGCTTCCCCTAATCTTCCTACCTAGCCTCTCGCCGTGGCCTCCTTCCTCAGAGCACCCACCACTCACCTGGGACAAGACATTCTTGTTTCCACATCGAGTCTTCGTCCCCCTACTAAAACACAGGCTTCCCTCCCTGTGGCACCCGTAGCTCCCAGAATGGGTCTGGCACACAGCAGTCATGCACTAAATATTTAATGAATACATTAACCCAGCGCCAATGTGCCCCAAGAACACTGAGATGGGAGCAAGCTGCACCTTTTTTTTCTAAACGGGAAATAGGTTACTATAGCACACAAAAAAGCAAGGTTTTATTTAACAAGTAAAATGTTTCTTTTTCATTTTAAGAAATGAATAGTCAGAAGACAGGGTTGAAGAATGCTTCAAAAAGAACGTGGAGTAAGCCTGGATGTCAGTATAAGTCCATGCTACGACATCAGCTCCTGGATTGGCTCCGGTAAAGCACCTCAAAACAGAAACAGCAGACCACAATGTTTTCTTAGGAGTAACACTAACTAAGATCAGGGCTTACGTTCATATAAGAAAAGAAAGAATCACTAATAAAATGTTGAAAAAGCAAGGCAATAACTCCACCACTGTACAACTGTGTAGATACGTGTCATGGACACACACTGCATCCGTGGAGACCTGAAGGAGCACAGGCAGCAGCTCCTGAGCACAGCTCTGAGAAGGAGCCCTGTCAGCCGGCCACTCTTGGTGAAAACCACATTCCTGTTCTCACAGCTCAGACCCCATGAAGCCAACCCTAGTGGGAGCTGAGCTTGTGTGTGAGAAGCTCATCAGAGGCACTGCCAATCGATGAGCGTGGCAAGCACTGCAATGTAAAACAGACACACAGGCCCCAAGAACCCACCCAGCTCCCTCTCTCTGCACACAGGTGTGCCCTTTGCTGCCACCTGTGAATTCAGGACTGCCGTGGCATGGTAGCTTTGACCACAACTCGGCAGTGCATCTGCAGTCCAACTCTCAGGATGTCTAGCATGCACTGCTGTTTCCCAGGATAACTACAGTCGCCCCTGGCTGGACCCTAACCTCGTTCTGCACACAAGTAGTCCATGTTCCTGCCCTTTCATCCACATTCCCTTCCTCTCCTAACTATACTTTCTGATCCCTGTTCTCCATCTCCCTGACTCCCCAGTACACAGCTCCACTTTCTGGTCCCTGTCTCCATCTCCCCGGCTCCCCAGTACACAGCTCTACTTTCTGATCCCCGTCTCCATCTCCCAGCCTCCCCAGTACACAGCTCCTGCCCATTTCCTTCCTGTTTGGACATCTTCAAGGGAAGCATCCTCTCCTCCTGCACTGGCCTATGGGACTCTGCGTGTTCTCCCTACCCCCGTCATCTTATCAAGGTTAACGTCTACCTTGTGGCTTTATGGTGAATTCCAGCCTATCTCTGGGCCCTCCAGAACAACCCTATTTTGTTGGCATCCCCATCTCTGTCTGTATGGCACATGCACAGTCTTCATAAGTGTGATCCCATTTCCTCCTGGACACTTCTATGCTCCCTTTTCCCCTTTGTTTTGACACATTTCATATATAAATGAATATGTAAGTATAGAAGCCTAAAGCAGTGCCCTGAGAATTCTATACAATCCATAAATCTCACTCCAGTATCCACAGTGAAACAGCATTAAATTAATTCTGAAGCAAAAATAACACAATCTCAAGAAATTCATGATCTTGTTGGAAAGACAGAGCTTACTTCATCAAACACCCTTAAAGGAAAGCTCGACTCAGTGGCAATTTAACGTGGCTGAATTCTAGAATAGCATTCAAGTACAGAACAAGTCTAACTGCCCAGAAATACTGCACCTGTCGTCAGCAAGTGCTCCAAGGCATCCGAGTACTGCAGGAGGCGACTGCTGTACAACCAGGACTGCAGGCGGTAACTGTGGCCATCATTGCTTCTCGGATCATCATAAAATTTCTCCAAACTAAGATTGCCACTATAGTCTTCGGCGAGGGGCTTCCCATCTCCTGTGGTACTGTCTGCATAATGAATCCCCGCTTCAGGAAAGTGCTTGAAGCCTGAAAAGAGAAACAATCGATGCAGTCTCATGTACATCACTCACTTCCCGCAGGGAGCAGTGTGGCCTAGCCAAAACACACAGCCCGCCCGATTATCACCACCAGGGATGGCGCCAAAGACCTAGAGAAAGTCACCTTCATGCCTGGGTTTCATCATGTATGAAGGGAACACACAACATATACGAGCAAGCATGTGAGCGAAGGAGCTTGCACCGTGCCCTTATCCAGGTTCCTCCTGAAAGCACTGCTTCCTGTAACCACAGGAGCCCCCTCTAGCGGGCAGCTGCTGTCATGCAGGTGCTACAGAAAGGTACGAGGGACACACAGCTGCATCAGGAGTCCAGAAGGGGCTCTAACCTTGGCTGTGGGACCCAGCTATGTGGCAGCCGCTCACTTAGGAGTATACCCATCTGTGAGTGAGTACCATCCTCAGCTCTATTTCAGAGGCTGTCGCAAAGTTCAAACACAACAGTTTACGTGGAAGTGCCCTGCTTACACTGTCCACATAAAATTCCAATTCAAACTGACAACCAGCATGGATTTTTACAAATTTTCCAAACACAAAAGATTAAAAACAGCTTTTTCTTGTTTTATAAAACAGCTTTTTCAATAAACAAAAATGTGAAATACCCATCTTAGGTCCAATTACTAAACATTTAATATTATTTAATATTAATATTGAAGAAACATCAGTGAAATAAGCAACCATATATCTGAGAAAAACGTGTCATTCTGTATAACATAAAATCATACCTAGTTTCTCTGCTACTTCTTTTGCAAGTCTGCCTTTTCCGGTACATATATTGCCATCTACAGTTATCACCCTGCTGCGCTCTGTCAGTCTTGTGCTTGTTTTATCCCCAAATAGGAAATGCCACATTCCATAGCGCAGCTTGCACTGCACACTGCTATGAATTCCTCTCTGAAAAACACAAAATCACACAGCAGCACATTGTGACCACTCTGGTTCCTGTAGGCATTAGCAATTATTAGGTAAAAATATTGAGAAATCTCTTGGTGATAAAAATGCCAACATCTACATTTTTATTGCCTATTAATTTGTTTAATTAACTGTCTATCCCCCACCACTCTGTACATGCAAGTTTCATTAAGGGCAGATATATTGTCTGTCTGTTCACTGCTAAATCCTCAGGCCCTGGAACAGTGTCTGAAATTTTTATTAAATATGTTTACTATGTTCAATAAAAATTGGAGGGAGGGAGGGAGGGGGGATGGATGGATGGATGGGTGGATGGATGGACAGACGGACGGACAGACGGAAGGAAGAAAGACAGGGATGGAGGGCAGCTTGGGAGTGAAGGGAAGGGAATAAAAAATATTTCTCTAATCCAAGCTTCTGTCCCCAGCTCCTGATCTAGTTACTCCACTGCCTATTAGACAGCTCCACCTAGATGTCCTGAAGGCACCTGAAGGTAACAGAGCTAAAGTGAAAAGCCCCCAAATCTGCTTTCCCTCACAGCAGGGAATATCCACTACCTAACAAGCAAAAGAGAGCAAATTTGAGTGACACCTTCCTTCAACTGCAGAATTACGCACAAAATCCTAACTCTTCAAACTCTCTGAACACTGCATCACCTCCCTATGCTATGTGCTGACTCTGTAGACATCCTCACACCTCTTATCTATAAGGCAAAGGCCTGCTTCAACTCCTGTCTCCAGCATCCCAATTTATTCTCCACGCTAAAGCCAAAACAATCCTTCCAAAAAAAGAAAAGAAATATAACCAAAAGTAAAATAAACTGAAAAAGTTCAACACGTATGATGGGATAACAGCCTTACTATATACAGAGATTGTATAGCACAATAAGCAAAACAAAGAATAAAAACACATAGCTTATTTTAAAATTATAAAATACAGCTAAAAACCACATGAAAAAGTGGTTAATCTTGCTACAAAGAAACCAAAAGACTATCATCAAGAGACATTAGTTTTTCATGTATCAAAATGAGAAATAACTTTTAAAATGATTACAGAGTTAGGACAACACAATGAGTACCATCCTAAACTGCTAATGGTAATGAAACCTAGAGGACACTGGGTCTACAGCATTAGGAATCCATTCAAAGGCTATATACATAAGACTGACCTATAAGGATGCTCAATGAAGTATGATATGGAACATCAAAAATGCAAATAGAAACCCTTAAATGTCCGACAACGAAGGAATAGTTAAAAAAATTTAAGGTATATCCATATTATGGAATACTAAGTACTCAAGAAAATATAAAAATATTAAAATACTTCTTTGTGAAATTTAAATAAAACAGGAGAATATAAAATATCAAGATATTTTTCGATCTTGATTTATTTGATAACTGAAGAGTAAGGAAGAAACAAGTTACAAAACACTGCAGAGCAGACAACCCAATTTAAAAATGGGCAAAAGATGTGAACACCCCTCGCAAATGAAATTAACTCAGATAGCAAATAAGCATACGAAAAGATGCTGAACACTGTACGTCATGAGATATTCCAAAGTTAAAACAAGATACCACTACGCATCTATCAGAATGGATAGCAATCCAAAGTAACTGACAGCCCCGCACGCTGGCAAGCATGCAGAGCAACAAGGAGAGCCTTTGCTGCTGGTAGGAGTCAAATGGCACAGTCACTCTGGAAGATGGCTTGGCACCTGCTTAGAAAACTAGTCTTACTACATGATCCGGTAATCACTCTTCCAGGTATTACCCAACTGATATAAAAATGCATTTCCAAAAACAATCTGCACATACATGATTACAGCAGCTTTATTCATAATTGCCAAAAACTTGAAGCAACCAAGATGCCCTTCAATTGCTGAATGGATTAACTGAAGTACATCCATGCAATGAGATATTATTCAGTGATTAAAAAGAAATGAGTTATCAAGCCACGAAGACATAAGTGAATCTTATACAGATACTTTCAAGTATTCAAGGCGTCTGAAAAGGCAATATATTGTATAATTCTAATTATATGACATTCCACAAAAGGCAACTATGGAAACGGTAATGATACCTGTGGTTGTCAGGGGTTCGAGGAAAAGAAGGGTTTAATACGTAAAGCAGAGGCGAATTTTTTAAGGCAGGGAAGCTACTCTGTATGAACCTATAACGGTGGAGACATGCCATCATACACTTGTCAGAACCCATAGAACCTTATAGCACAAAGAAAAAAATCCATAGAACCTTATAGCACAAAGAATGCATGCAATGTATGCACATTTTTGAAAACTCATTAGGTAGAAGGATCCCAGGATGTAAAGCAGAGTATGACAAAGCAATCCAACTGTGTTACAAATGTATGAAACAATTTCACTGAAAAAGGCGGGGGCAAACTGCTAAGAAATGAGTAGTCAGTAAGAGTAAAGGCAGAAGGAAGAAAACACAAGCACTGGACTCCGTTTCTGCTCAACATCGCATCACCCCAGCACCTAGCAGGGCCCGACCTTTAAATGGCTCTTGACAGGGCTGCTACGTGAATTATCGAATGACAAGCGCGCGTGCCCCCGGCCTGCCACCTGCACACTGGCCTCCCGCATCAGGGCAGCCTCCGGGCGGATCACCTCCGCGCTCCAGCGTTTTGCTTAAAGTTGAGATAAAATGGCCTGCAGAAGCTCGTGGCCCCCCTGAAGTCTGTCCACGACCAAAGACCAAACAGTTCCGGAGGCCGGAGGGGTCCCCCAAACCCACCCCGAGAGCGACCCTGGGAGCCGCCGCCAAAGGCCGGGTGAGATGTGGAACTGCCCCCCTCCCCCACTCCGCCGGCCGCCGCCCGCTCACCACGCGCTGGGCGCCCGCCGCCAGGACCCGGACGGACGCGGACGTCGGGGCCAGTTTCAGGAGCCGGAAGGCCATGGCTACCCCGTCAGCTCAGGCTCAAGGACCCAAGGGGACGCGGTCGCGACGGGGCCCTTTCCCGCGGCAGGCGCGCTGCCGTGACGTCACGGTTGGGGTGCCCGCGGCGCCTGTCGGGAACCTTCTTGCGGCGCGTCGGGGCGGTGCTGCGCCGAGGCCCTCGGGGGCTTCCGCGGAGATCGCCAGCGGGCTGCCGGGGTCCTGCGGGTTGGGCTGAGGGCTGAGAGCCGGGGGTTGGAGGTGAGGGTGGGGGCAGCAGGCTCGCTGCCTGGCCCCTGCCTAGGTTCTGAGTTGCTGCAGTGTCGGGAGAGCTGAGGCAGCCCCGGGCGTGGAGCGACCTCTGCGTCTCAGGGTCCTGCGTCCCCGAATCCCGCAGGCGCGGTGTGGACGTCAAAGCGACCTCCTAGAGAACGTTCCTAGCTGTCAGAACGTTCTAGCTGGGGAGGGAAAGGGGGAAAGCGGGGCGAGGAGCGGAGGGACGGGGTGAAACCTCTGCCGCAGGGCGCCAGTCCGGGACAGGGACCTGGCAAGGACGGCCTGGGTCGCCTCTGGGGCTGAAGGCTGAGTGGTCTCATCCAGGGGACCTACTGTGAACACACTGAATAGAGTGGAAAACAAACGGAAAAGCACACGCTCCAAGTCCATCTCTTAAACCTGTGCTCCCGTCAGGACCTGGGCTCTGGGCTCCACGTAGGAACCTTGCGTGTGAGATTTCCTTCCAAGTACGCCTCCTGTTTGGAAGGGTTTTTATGATCTTTTGTGTTCCTCGGGCTTTTTGTTCTTAACCCCTGAAATATTCTTTAACTTTGTTTTCAACTTTTCAGAAATGATCATGCGATTGTAAAACAGTGGGAATGCGGCTGTGTAAACTAAGGCCGGTTCTGTGGATGTTTCCGTAATTGAAGAATTGCTTTTTGTCAGAAATACGGATTCCCCGTCCCCAACGCAGGGGGGGGCCTGGTTTTCAGATCCTGGAGGGACCCTGAAATCCATTTAACAATCTTCCAACTAATTCTGATGCAAATAGTCCACATGAGAGAAACACTGGTCTAGACTATGTTTTCCGTGAGCAGGGACCACGTCCACATCCTTCGCTGTGCCCGCAGCCCCATGCAAAGCTCCTGACACATCACATATGCCACAAAGAAAGTTGTATGAACACACATACAACTGGAGGGTGTAACCAGACAGCCCTGAATCCTCCAGCCCCACTGAGTCACAGCTTATAATCTTCAAATAGAAGGACTCAAGGCCTCCCTCCACATCTCCATATCTCTAGAAAGCCCAGCATCTTTTTTGGTGTTTCTGAGAATTCTGGGAAATGAATGGGGGATGGGGGGCCGTTTTCAGATTTTTCTCATCTCGATCATTATCCGTCCTAGCCACATCTCGCCTCCGGTGGTCCAGTTGTCTTTCCCAGCTTTACCCCAGGTGAAGACACGCCTTTATCTTATTTTCTAAGGTAAGATTCTAGTGTTTCACCTTTTACTGATGGTATAAGAAAAGGAGAGAGATCACCATAGGAAACAATATAAAATTAAATAATTATCGGACGTCGCCGTCCTAAAGCTTCTTTTGACCATTTGGTATTATTTATTACCTACCATTATATTTTGGAAATTGGCTCCCCGTGTCAGGCACTTCTCACACTGCCTTCTCCCTGGACATACTCATCGGGAGCTGGATTCCAGGGCCTCAGGACTGAAGGAGATAAAATCCATGGAGGCGGTGCTTCTGGTTGATGGTGCCTGGCTCACCTGGTGGTGGTGGAGGGCTCGTCAATCCAGAGGAACAAGGAGCCCCGCTGGGCAGCAAATCCTGCACCCAGCAAAACCATTCTTTGGTGGGTGGGGGGGATGAGAGAAACGAAGGCATTCTCAGGTGATGAAAAATCTAAGAGACTTTGTTTCCAGTGAACTCTTCCCCCCTTTAAAGTTTGGCTAAAGGAAGCTTTCAAACAGAAAATAACACAAGAACGCTGGGGCCTTCAGAAGGAAGGAAGAACAACAGAATAGGTAAAATAGAAAAATATAGTAAACGATCCCTCACTGAGTTTTTAAAATTGTATTTGGTGGTTAAAACAAAAATCATAACATCGTCGATGTAGTGCTTACTGCACATACAGGAAATACGACCATCACTATATAAAAAATGGGGAGGGTAAAAGCACCTACATGAAAGAATTCTGTGATACTCCCCTTGAAGCAGTAAAACATCCACACAAATAGGTTGTGAGAAGTTACATTTGCGTGCTGTGATACCTAGAGCAACCACTACAAAAACTATACCTAGTGATATTTCCCAAGACATTATCAGTAAATCAAGATTGAATTCTAAAAAAATGTACTGTATTCATTGGAAGGTTAAAAAAAAAAAAAAGGCAAAGGAAACAAGACAAAACACAGCAGACATGAGCCCTAATCTGTTAATTATTTGATAACCTGAACAGTCCTGTACCCATTAAAGAAGCTGAATCTGTAATTTTAACACACAACCCACTTCCCACCCCCCGCCAGAGAAGATTCCCGGTTCCAGATAATCTCACTGGAGAATTTTAGCAAATGTTTAAACAACTTTATACAATCTTCTCCAGAAAACAGAAGAGGCTTTTCAACTTGTTTTATGATACCAAAACCATACAAAGACAGGATGAAAATAACTTCAAACCCCAATAGATTACTATCTCTCATGAACATAGACACAAAAATCGTTAACAAAATGTTAGCAAATTGAATCCAACACTATATGAAATGAATAATACACCACAACCCAAGGTGATTTATTCAAAAGATGCAAGGCTAATCTGGTATTTGAAAATCAGCCAATGTAATACACCTTATCCGCAGGTGAAAGAAAAAATCTATGACCAGATTGCCTGATGCAGTTTTTTGCATCACTTGACGAAACTAAATACTCATTTATGGTAAAAACAAAAACTGCTCTCAGCAAATAAAACTGCTCTCAGCAAATAAGGACAAAACTAAATACTCATTTATGGTAAAAACAAAAACTGCTCTCAGCAAATAAAACTGCTCTCAGCAAATAAGGACAAAACTAAATACTCATTTATGGTAAAAACAAAAACTGCTCTCAGCAAATAAAACTGCTCTCAGCAAATAAGGACAAAACTAAATACTCATTTATGGTAAAAACAAAAACTGCTCTCAGCAAACTGCTTCAGCTTGATAAGCACATGCACGAAAACTCTGCATCATTGTACGTAATCATGAAAGACTAAGTGCTTGTCTTCTAAGTAGGAAACAAGGCAAGGATTTCTGCTCTGCCCACTCTTATTCAACAGAGCACTGGAAGTTCTGGTAATAGGCCATGCAAGAAGGCAGAAAATAAAATTCATACAGATCAGAAAGGAAGAAATAAAACTCTTGTTTTTAGTTGACATGACTGTTCACATAGAAAAGCCAAAGGAATCTACAAACAATTCCTAGAACTAATGAGTGAGCGCAGCAAGTTTGCAGACTGAAACGTCAACATATGAAAATCAACTGCATCCTACATACTAACAACAAACAGACGGAAACTGAAATAAAAGATGGAATACCATTTACAGTTGCTTCAAAGAAAATATAATATTTAGGTCTAAATCCAGCAACACATACACAGAATCTGCATACTAAAAAGTACAAAACACTGATTAAAACAATGAAGAAGACCGCAGTGATTGGAGGGGCTTACGATGTTCATGGATTGAAAGACTCAACAGAGTCATGAAGTCAGTTCTTCCCAAATTGATTTTTAGGTTTAATGGAATTTCTAGCAAAATCTCAGCAAGGTTTTCTTGTAGACTTGTAGACATAGACAGGCTTACTATAAAAGTTGTATAAAAATGTAAAGGCCGTACAATAGTCACAAGAATTTTGAAACAGAGTAATAAAGTGGGAGGAGTCATTCTTCCAGTGTTAAGATTTACTACATAATCATATCAATCAAGACTGTGTAGTGTGGACGGAGGGTGTGATATTGATAGATACAGAGATCAATTAAATAGAACAGAGGATCCAGAAATAAGCCAGCACAAATATTCTCAACTGACACAGTAGCGCACCACATAACGACATTTGGTGAATGATGAAGCGAACAGCATATGAGATGGTGGTCCCATAAGATTATGATACTATATTTTTACTTACCTTTTCTATATTTAGATACCTAATTTGTGGCCAAGCACAGTGGCTTATGCCTGCTGGGAGAGGCAGGACAGGGTTTCTCCCAGCATAATGTATTATGTATACATAATACAGTATATGCATTATTGCAGTATATGTATTATCCAGTTTAAATGTATTGTGCTTTATGTACTATGCAGTATAAATGTATTGTGAATTACGAATATTGGACAGCCATGAGAATGCATGAATTACTGTTATGCAAAAACATCAAGGATTCGGGCAGGCAGCACAGTGAATGAAAGAAGCTGAATGTAACAGGGTGCATACTTTATGCATAAACCCTTCGAAAACACCAATGCTAGCATCTGGTTTTGGAAGTCAGGATAGTGCTTCTCGTGGAGGAGGGATAATGACTGGGAGAGGGCATGAAGGCAGCTTCTAGTTCTTGATCTGGGAGCTGGTTCCATGAGCACGGTCCTTTTGTGAAAACATACGTAGACGAAGGCTAATTACTTGTGCACAGTTCTGTAGGTTTGTTAAATTTCACTTAAAAATTAATCCAAAGAGCACAAAGTGCCGTATACAATGTTGTTTCATCACTACAGATTTTTACCCTAGGACATTTAGTTGTCTTAGTATGAAGTTTGACCCAAGCCCAAGGCCTTTTTCAATTCGTCCTTAAATTCCTTGTTCCTCAGGCAGTAGATCAACGGGTTAATTATTGGCGTGACTACAGTGTACACGGCAGAGATGAGCTTGTTGGAGCTCCGGGAATCAATGGCCTGGGGCCGGACATACGTGAAAATCATAGCCATGTAGAAGATGGTGACCACAGTGAGGTGAGAGGCGCAGGTGGAGAAGGCTCTCCAGCGGCCAGTGGCCGAGGGGATGCACAGGACAGCCAGGGTGATGTGCCCATATGACAGCACGGTGGCCAGGAGTGGAAACACCAGGATGATGAAGGCCAGGATGAAATCCACCAGCTCCGCAGTGGAGAAGTCCGTGCAGGCCAGCTTGAGGATAGGGGAAATGTCACAAAAGAAGTGGTTCAAGATGTTGGAGCCACAGATCGTGATGCTGGAGATAAAATAGACCTTGATCATGGAGATGGTGAAGCCGCTCACGAAGGAGAAGCCCACCAGCTGGAGGCACAGCCCCGGGGTCATGAGGACGTGGTAGCGCAGCGGGTGGCAGATGGCCATGTAGCGGTCATAGGCCATGGAGGCCAGAAGCACACACTCGGTGCACACCAGGGAGCTGAAGAAGTAGAGCTGCGTCATGCACCCGACGAAAGAGATGCGTTTCCGCTGGAGGAGGAAGCCCTCCAGCATCTTGGGGGTGATGTCAGACACATACCAGATCTCCAGGAAAGACATGGAGCTCAGAAAGTAGTACATGGGCCTGTGGAGGGAGGCGCTGCTCCAGACAGTCAGGATGATGGCCAGGTTCTCCACCAGGACGAAGAGGTAAGTGAGCAGGAAGAGGAGGAAGAGCAGGTACTGCAGCCCCGGGGCCATGGGGAAGCCCACCAGGATGATGGTGCTGACCTTGGTGACATTCTCCCCGCTCATGCCTCTGCTTGGGAGCTGTGGGCCTGCAAAACAGCAAAGAGCAAGAGGAAAGGGCTGCAGGGCAGCTGGGGCACAGAGAGAATGGTGCTCGACTTGGATGGGGAGTTTGGGTACAAAGAGAGGCCACACGGTTCCTGAGAACACCAGGAGAGAGCAGTGATCTGCTGATCTTCTGAGTTTTAAAGTAGAAAACTTCTGTGTGCTTGCATTTAGATATAGCCATGAAGTAGGAATGAGGAAGAGAATATGCTGAGGAACAGAGCCGGGCAGCTCCTGGGTGGGTGAAACCCAAACCTCTGAGTCTAGGGGCACTACCAGTCCACACATGGCTCGGGGCAGCTCTCAGAATCCAAGTGGGCATGGACACAGAGCTGGCCCTCCTTAGGGTCCTTCACCTGAGGGTTCCTGCAAGTCACAGCAGCAACCTTGGCCCGAGGTGAGGGGCTATCAGCCTACCAGGGCAGGACCCCAAACCGGGCTAACCAGCCAGAGGAATGCAAGGAGGGCTCCCAGGAGAGGGCTGCCTGGCTCTCGGGGACCTGGTCCACAGGCGAGGGAGAGAGAGGGTAGCCGCAGCCCCTTGCCCCACAGGGCACTTGGTGGTTGCTTCACTGGCAGTCTAGGTGGTTGAATGGCAGACTTCCACCAGCTCACAGCTGGGGAGGGTGACCCCAGGTTTCTGGCCCAGAATGCTGAAAATTGATGAGAAGACTAGGAGAGGGCCAGGTGGGTACTGAATAATCAGGAGGCTGTGCTGGGGAAGTGTGGTGCGCGGCACTTCCTGGAGAGCCTCACGGTGACATGTAGGGGGTTGGCTATACGAGTCTGGAGTTCATGGATGAGTTCCAGGCTGAAAAATGAAATTCTAGAAAGGAATTGCCCAGGGACAGGTTTATACTCGGAAACGCGCCTGTACTCCTGCTGTCTAGGGTGAGCATTCTGTGGGAACCCAAGATCACCCACTGGGGCGTCATGGCCATTCCCTGCTTTAAAATGCCAGCGTGCAGTTCAGAGTTTAGGATCAATTTCACAAGCATTTGCTACTCACTCCAGTCACTGCCTACTATCTCCCCAAAACAAAAGCAATAAGAATCCCTGCCGTTAAAGGGATCTCCAGATATGAGTCTGAATGTTTCCTCTTTAGACACCATCCAGGGTGGTGACTGTGTGCTTTTCCCAGCCAAGTGGCCACAGAGGGCTTTAAAGTCCACAAGGAGGAAAGTTGGGGGCCACAGAAGCTCCTTGGAAGGCCAGCAGCCCCCACCTGTCAAATGGGTTTGCTGGGGAGAGCTGGCGGTGGGGGTAGCGAGCTTTGGTTCTTATGCTTTTAACCCAGGACAGTGGAGGCCCCTATAGATTTCTCTTGATTTGGATAGTGGTAACTGATCTTTAATGGGTTGGCTAGTTAATACCAGATTGATTCGTTAAATTGAAACTGTGTTACTTGACAAATTCAGGGCCCTTTACAACACACTGTCTCCATCCCCTGAACTTTAGACAATGGCTGCATTTTCTTTTAAATAAACTTTTTATTTTGGAATCATTTCAGATTTACAGAAAAGTTACAAAGAGAGTGCAGAGAGCCCCGGGAGCCCCTGCATTCGGCTTCCTCCTACATGAGGAGGATTTGTTCATCAAAGTAAGGGATTGACATTGGTATTACAGTGGACTGAACTCCAGACTTTGGCGTTCATCTTTTTTTCCTCAAATGCCCATTTCTGTTCCAGGGTCCCCCATGGCTACGGGCACGGCTGCCTTTTTAACTTGGCTGTGCCTCCCTGGTTTCTGTAGACAGACTGAAAGGCCAAGCGGATGCTGCCGAGGGAGGCTGGCATCCTCTCATCGTAAACAAGGTTCTCCAATGTGTTACAAAGACTGTTTTTGCCCAGTCACAAATTCAAACCTAGGTCTCCAATCTGAGAGAGGAAAGTGAAGCTTTCCTTGCCACAGAGCGGACGTATTTTGGGGTGGTCCATGAGACGGGTACTACGGTAGCTCCTCCCGGCTGCACCTACCATCAGCCTGCAGCCATTTACTCTGATGCCTTCCCTGGTGCCTGGCAGAGCCACCTAGAACCAGTCCTCATCAACGATGAGTGAGCAGATGCTCTCTGCCCCATTCAGCCACCTGAGGCTGCTGGCTAATTCTGGGTGAGATGTTAGACATCAGGGCATAACCCGATGCCTATGAATATGTGCTCAGCGCAGTACTCAAAAATGCAAGGGCCACTTATGGAGCATCCATGAGCCATCCTGCTTGGTGCTGGCCATGAGACTGCAGAGGGGAGTCCCTGCCCCAGATTGTATGTGGGGGGCATGTGGAGTGGGGAGTGTCAATCACACACACAAACGAAGAGCTCTCTCCCCAAGCAAGGAATACATCATACCCTAAAATCACAGCAAAATGAGCCCATCAGCAACTTGGAAAGTGCTGGATCCTACCTGGCCTGTCGGGAAGCCTCACTGCAAATGGCTGCAGCTGCCTGCAGGAGTGAAGAGTGGCTTCTGCCTGTGTCCAGCAACTCCCAGGCTGGCCACAGTGACCAGACAAGCCTTGAACGTGCTCTTGAGAAGTGGGCTGCCTGAGGCACTGGGGAGACACCACTGTGGCTTTTTCTGATGAGCACAGGGACTCCAGGGTCCAATTATCCCCCTGCTGATGGAAAGGCCCACACTGCCAATTAGGTGAGCCTGTGCCTCTGGGGCCAGGCTGGCCCCTGCCTGGCTGAGGGCATCCAAGCAGAGACTGTTGAGCCACTCCTGGCCCCTCCGTTTGGGCCCTTCACCCTCCTCAGTGGCTGTCTCCCACACTCCCTACTGGAGGCGCTGCTGTCCATGGGTCAACCTTGTTCCTGTGCAGCCCACACCCTCTGAGGGAAGGATTTGTCCCACCTGACTTCTGTTTCCTCTCTGGTCCAGTTGTTCTGACCTCCCCTGTTCTCTCCACTTTAATTCTATGGCCCCAGGTGCTCCTCAAGTAGGCTGGCTCCTGCCACCCTGCTTGGGGCTTTGGGACTCACTGTGCCCTCTGGAATGTTCTCCCTCTGCATCAGCCCGCCTGTTCCCTCACTTCCTACAATCCCACACCCAGCCAGGACATTCCTTTTTCCTCTCCTGCCAGATAAGTCAGCTTGGGCTGCCAGGGGAGAAACCCTGTCCAGCCTCTCCCAGCTTCTGGGGGCTCCTGGCTTCAGGGGCTGTGGCACCAACACTTCGATCTCTGCATCTCAGGTCACGTCGCCTCCCCGTGGTCTGTGTGTCAGATCTCTCCTGTGTGTCTCCTTGAGTGTGTGTTTATTATTTTCAAATTTATGCATAATGTATACATTTTTGGAGTATATACGATTGAATGCAATTATAATTTGTAAATATCAAATCAGTATAAATGGGCTATTCATCACCTTAAATATTTGTCTTTTCTTTATACCAGAAACATTCAAATTATGGCTATTTTGATATATGCAATAGATTACTGAAAACTATAGTCACCTTACTGATCTCTAACCTCAGTCTTATTTCTTGTATCAAACTATATATCTGCATCCATTAATCAACCTCGCTTCACCTCAGTCCCCCGTACCCTTCCTTGCCTCTCATAACCACCAATCTACTATTTCCATGAGATCCACTTTTTAAGCTCCCACATATGAGTGAGAACATGCGATATGTGTCTTTGTGCCTGGCTTATGTCACTTAACATAATGACATCCAGTTCCTGCAAATAACAAGATTTCATTCTTTTTTATGGCTGAATAATATTCCACTGCATATAGTACCACTTTTTTATCCATTCATTCATTCAGATGGACACTTAGGTTGATTCTATATTTTGGTTATTGTGAATAGTGCTGCAATAAACATGGGAGTGCAGATATTCAGTGTATTGATTTCCTTTCTTTTGGATATATATACAGTAGTGGAAATGTTGGATTATATGGTAGTTCTGTTTTTAGTTTGTTGAGAAACCTCCATACTGTTGCCTATGGTGGCTGTACTAATTTACATTCTCATCAACAACGAATGAGGGTTCTCCTTTCTCTACATTCTCACCAAAAACTATTATTCCCTGTCTTTTTAAAAATAAAAGCCATTTTAAATGGGATGAGATGGCATCTCACTGTGGTTTTGATTCACATTTCTGTGATTATTAGTGATGTTGAGCATTTTTTTACATACCTGTTTGCCATTTGTATGTATGCTTTTGAGAAATATCTATTCAGATATTTTATCCATTTTTAAATGAGATCATTTGGGTGTTTTGCTTTTTTTTGCCATTGAGTTGTTTGAGTTCCTTATATATTCTGGTTATTAATCCCTTGTCAGATAGATAGTTTGTAATTATTTTCTGTGGGTTGCCTTTTCACTCTGTTGCTTGTTTCCTTTGTTGTGTAGAAACTTTTTAGTTTGATGTAATCCTGTTTGTCTGTTTTTGCTTTGGTTGCCTGTTCTTTTGAGGTCTTACACAAAATCATTCTTTGCCCAGACCAATGTCCTGGAGTGGTTCCGCAATGTTTTCTTCTAGTGATTTTGTAGTTTTGAGTCTTAGATTTAAGTATTTAATCCATTTGGATTGAATTTTCTTATGTGGTGAGAGATGGGGGTCCAGTTTCATTCTTCTGCACATGGATATCCAGTTTTCCCAGCAACATTTATTGACGAATCTATCCTTTCCTCATCATATGTCCTTGGCACCTTTGTTAAAAATGAGTTCACTGTAAATGTGTGGATTTATATCTGGGTTCTCTGTCCTGTTCCATTGGTCTATGTGTCTGTTTCTATGCTAGTAACATGCTGGTTTGGTTACTGTAGCTTTGTAGTATAATTGGAAGTCAGGTGGTATGCCTGCCATGCCTGGGAACTCTTGGGTCCTGATCCGCCTGCCATGCCTGGGAGCTCTCGGGTCCTGATCTGCCTGCCATGCCTGGGAGCTCCTGGGGCTCTGATCTGCCTGTCACGCAGGCTCTTATGAGGACACTTGTCACTGCATTTAGGGCCCACCTGGTTAATCCACACTGATCTCCCCATCTCCAGATCCTTAATTTAGTTACATCTGCAAAGACCCTTTTTCCAAATAAAGTTGTATTCACAGGTTCCAGAGATTTGACATAGACCTATATTTTGGGGCCATTTTTCAGCTGACTAGAGCTGATGTATTTTTTTTCCTTAGCATGTATCCCTGAATACCATTCGAGTATTTTACCTATTTATTTTTTGTATTTCTCTGTCATCTAATAGAATGTAAAGTGTATGAGGGCTGAGATTTTTGTCGATGTTGTTCATCGTTTACCTTGAGTGTCTGGCACATAGTAGGTGCTTGGATGAATAAATGAGTAAATGAATGAATGACTCAGTTAGTTGTGACCAGAGAAGGGTGTGGACAGAGGATATGGAGTAATTTAACTGGAGACAAACCATGTCCTGGCCCAGCTGCCTGGGATGGAAAATCGGCTCTCCACAGCCCTGAGAATGGCACCAGTAGCATCGCTCTGAGCCTGTGCCTGGGTCCCTGGGCTGGCTACCCAGCCTAGTGCCCTTCCTCCAAACAAGGCCTAGTGCCCTTCCTCCAAAATGGGCTGTGACCCAGCCAGCTAAGTAGGGGTGGAGACCCAGATGATCAATTGCACACAAAGGAGGCAAACTCAAGGTCATGACACCCAGGAGGCCCAGGAGGGAGGTCCTGACTGTGGGTGGCAGGAAGTCTCGGCACTCACTCTGTACCAGCTTAGAGGGGGCCAGAGAAGGACAGTGGACTCTGGAAAGGACATGAGCTGGAGGTGGACAGTCAGTGGACAGTGGTGCTTCTGTACAACAACATAGGTGTCAAGCATGGAGTTGGCAGATGTGGAAGTGACAAGTGGGTTTTAATGGGGTGGACACGAGCTCTGCAAACAGATCCAAACTCAGTCGGAATGAGTACAGAGGAGGAAAAGCAACTTTTCCATAACTCAGATACAGATACAGGCAGATTTTAGACCTTCATCATTTCCCGGTGGTGGACGTACAGTGGTGGTTGACGCACCACTGTGCAGCCTTCCTGCCCAGACAGCTGCTCCAAGCCAACTGGGTTCCCAGGGGTCTGAGTGGCCCTCCTCCCAGAGGGTGAGAGCAGACCTGGCCACCTGGGAGCTGGCAGGGAACTGGCCGGTACAGAGGAGGATGGGCTTCAGGGTTCTGTGCAGTCTGAGGATGCTGCGATCAGCTACAAAACAGTTTCTGTATTAAAACCAGACTCACAAGGTCAATTCTAGAGTGGGATGAAACTTACAGTATGAGCTGAAGAAGGTTTTCTTGGTTGTCTCTGGCTCAAAAATGTGCAGAGGACTGGATGGATGCCAGAGTTGATTAAGATAGATTTAGTAAGAGCTTATTAGAAAGTACGTGTTTGAAACAAGAAGACAGGTGTTGAAGGTGGCCCTGGCAGACAGCAGCAAGGAAAGGGATGGTAGGAAGACGTCGCCCTGCTGTGAGCAGCCCACCAGGCAAGAACTGTGGCTGAAGAAGCATGGATGAAGAGACATGGGTGAAGAAGCATGGATGAAGGGCCGTGGGTGAAGAGACGTGGATGAAGGGCTGTGGGTGAAGAGGCATGGATGAAAGGCCGTGGGTGAAGAGACGTGGATGAAGGGCCGTGGGTGAAGAGACGTGGATGAAGGGCCGTGGGTGAAGAGACGTGGATGAAGAGGCATGAATGAAGAGGCATGGATGAAGGGCCGTGGATGAAGAGACGCGAATGAAGGGCCGTGGGTGAAGAGACGTGGATGAAGGGCCGTGGGTGAAGAGGCATGGATGAAGGGCCGTGGGTGAAGAGACGTGGATGAAGGGCCGTGGGTGAAGAGACGTGGATGAAGGGCCGTGGATGAAGAGCTGTGGATGAAGAGACGTGGATGAAGGGCCGTGGGTGAAGAGACATGGATGAAGGGCCGTGGATGAAGAGACATGGATAAAGGGCCGTGGATGAAGAGATGTGGATAAAGGACCGTGGATGAAGGGCCATAGGTGAAGAGCTGTGGATGAGGGGCCGTGGGTGAAGAGCCGTGGATGAGCCATGGGTTAAGAGCTGTTGATGAAAAGTTATGAACGAAAAGCCGTGGATGAAGGGCCATAGGTGAAGAGCTGTGGATGAGGGGCCGTGGGTGAAGAGCCGTGGATGAGCCATGGGTTAAGAGCTGTTGATGAAAAGTTATGAACGAAAAGCCATGGATGAAGGGCTGTGGATGAAGAGCTGTGGATGAACAGGTGTGCATGTGGCCAAGGCACCACCAACCTTCACTGGGAGCAAGCAAAACCCAAGCCCGACGCCCTCTCCTGCTCACACCCGCTGAGAGGCAGGCTCTAAATTCCTGACCCCAAGTCAGCCTGATCCCTTAAATCAGACCCCATGAAGCCCTTTGCTACCCCATCCTGCCCTCCCATGAAATCCTACATCTCCCTTGGCCTTGGAACAAGTCTTCACCTGGATCTGATTTCTTCCCATTTGATAGGAATTACCCCTTTGCCTACTGTAAGATCAGGTGCAACCAGTTCTGACTCCCTGGGGCCCTCTGTGGCAGTTACAGCCCAAACCCGCTCCCTCAGCCCCCAACAGCCTTCGCTCGTCTGCACGTCCTCCTTCAGCTCTGGCGTCCACTGGGTCCCCAGCAGATATCTGGATGCACTCCTCAGTTCCTTGTGTTCCCGCTCTAACCCCAAATGCTGATTTGAACACTTACATGGCTCTCAAATGGGCCCGGCCACTACATCCAGATCCTGCATCCATTGCTCAACTCAGGGTAGTGCTCATCCCTCACGTGGACAATCCCGGCAGCCTCCTCCACAGCCTCCTTGCCTCCCACGGGGTCCCCTCTACATCTCTCACACACCTGCCAAATAGCCTGTCCAAGGCAGGAAACTGAACGTACCTCTGCCCCCACCTTAATTGCCAGACGAGTCCATGCTGCCTGCCACACCCGGGAGCTCTCAGGGTCCTGATCAGCCTAACACACCTGGGAGCTCTCGGGGTTCTGATCTGCCCCCCACGCCTGGGAGCTCTTGGGGCTTTGATCTGCCTGACACGCGGGGAGCTCTCGGGGTCCTGATCTGCCTGCCACACCCGGGAGCTCTCAGGGTCCTGATCAGCCTAACACACCTGGGAGCTCTTGGGGCTTTGATCTGCCTGACACGCGGGGAGCTCTCGGGGTCCTGATCTGCCTGCCACGCCTGGGAGCTCTCGGGGTCCTGATCCGCCCACCACACCTGTGAGCTCTCGGGGTCCTGATCTGTCTGCCACGCCTGGGAGCTCTCAGGGTCCTGATCCGCCCGCCACACTTGTGAGCTCTCGGATCCTGATCTGCCCGCCATGCCTGGGAACTCTCAGGTCCTGATCTGCCTGCCACGCCTGGGAGCTCTCAAGGCTCTGACGCTACCCACCATACGTGTGAGCTCTTGGGGCTCTGTCCTCTTCTTGTCTCAGGTCTCCCCCTTGGTGAACACCAGGCTCCCGTGGTGCTGCATCTTTGAACTCTGCGCAGCTCCATGCTGCTTCCTGCCTCTGAGGCTTTGCTATCATCGAAATTGAACACCCTTCCTCTTTTCCACCCTTTAAATTGGATAACCTCTATTCCTGTTTTAAGGTGTAAATATCATGCCATCCAGGTGACCCTCTTCCACCCCTCCCTGCAGCCCCCACTTGGGTTTGCTTTATCTCTCCTTGCACTGTGGATCCCTTACACGTCCAACCCAGCCCATACCCAGCCTCTGTCTCCTGCATGCCCATTGGGCACCAGACGCTGTGCTGGGCTGCCAGGTCCAACAGTGAACAGGACAGAGGTGGCCCTGCCTGCCTGGGCATCTGCGTGTATTTAGGTTCAATCAGAATCAACTCATGCAATAATAAAACACTTTTTATTTTCTCAGCAGCTGACTGGGCACGGAGTAGGGGTTTACGTAGGAAAAAGGCAGAGGGGCGTCCATCCAGGACAATCAGAGAACATTCCTTGGGTATAAAACAGAAAGCTACGTGTCCTTACTCTTCCGAGACACATTTCGCTTTGAGGACATGTGGAGCTCATTTTGCCACATGGTTAAACATTTCAGTGCTTTAACACACTGCAATTTATTGGGGACTTTACGATCTCAGATGACCTGGCATGTTTTGCTGCTTTCTGAAATGTGCGTGGTCATTTTAAAGGCGAGGAAAATTTATTAAGCTTTACTAAGTACGGCTTTGCGCATCTATAAAAAGAAGAAAGTACTGGTATTACAACACCAACAACAATACCTATGATATTAACCTCAACCTCAGTTTTTTTCTGGAAAGAGAAAAATGGATTTGGAAGTAATTTTTAAATGAATACGGTACTACAATAATGCAGACAGTGAAATGGCCTCCTCAGAGGGGCTGGTTGTGTTTTCCGAGATGGAGTTCCAGAAAGGTAGAAAGCTTGCCCTCTCCGACACAGCTCAAGCCAAGCCGGAGGCTTTTTTCAAGGCATTCTTAAATTCCTTATTCCTCAGGCAGTATATCAAGGGGTTCAAGACGGGGGTGAGAACTGTGTACAAAACAGAGATGAGCTTGTTGGAGCTCCGGGAATCAATGGCCTGGGGCCGGACATACATGAAAAGCAAAGCCATGTAGAAGATGGTGACCACAGTGAGGTGAGAGGCGCAGGTGGAGAAGGCTCTCCAGCGGCTGGTGGCCGAGGGGATGCACAGGACAGCCAGGGTGATGTGCCCATATGACAGCACGGTGGCCAGGAGTGGAAACACCAGGATGATGAAGGCCAGGATGAAATCCACCAGCTCCGCAGTGGAGAAGTCCGTGCAGGCCAGCTTGAGGATAGGGGAAATGTCACAAAAGAAGTGGTTCAAGACGTTGGAGCCACAGAACGTGATGCTGGAGATAAAATAGACCTTGATCATGGAGATGGTGAAGCCGCTCACGAAGGAGAAGCCCACCAGCTGGAGGCACAGCCCCGGGGTCATGAGGACGTGGTAGCGCAGCGGGTGGCAGATGGCCACGTAGCGGTCGTAGGCCATGGAGGCCAGAAGCACACACTCGGTGCACACCAGGGAGCTGAAGAAGTAGAGCTGCGTCATGCACCCGACGAAAGAGATGCGTTTCCGCTGGAGGAGGAAGCCCTCCAGCATCTTGGGGGTGATGTCAGACACGTACCAGATCTCCAAGAAAGACATGGAGCTCAGAAAGTAGTACATGGGCCTGTGGAGGGAGGCGCTGCTCCAGACAGTCAGGATGATGGCCAGGTTCTCCACCAGGACGAAGAGGTAAGTGAGCAGGAAGAGGAGGAAGAGCAGGTACTGCAGCCCCGGGGCCGTGGGGAAGCCCACCAGGATGAAGGTGCTGACCTTGGTGACATTCTTCCCCCTCATGCCTCTGTGCTTGGGAGCTGTGGGCCTGCAAAACATCAAAGAGCAAGAGGAAAGGGCTGCAGGGCAGCTGGGGCACAGAGAGAATGGTGCTGGACTTGGATGGGGAGTTTGGGTGCAAAGAGAGACCACGCGGCTCCCCAGAGCACCAGTGGGGAACAAAAGCAGCTCCCCACCCGATGTGTGTTAAGCATTAACCTCTGATGATACAGATTCTAGGTCTCAGAGCCTCTAACACTGGGTCTGGAACACCCTCCTGAGCCTGCCACCACCAGTCTGCCTCATCCGTCTCAAAACTATGTCCTATTTTTCACCATCTGGACTTCTCCAAGGGACCTAATAACCATGAAGGGGGTCCACAGGGTGTCTGGTGTCCTCCAGGTGATGAGCCGAGACTGCCCCAGGCTTCTGGGTGTATTGTTTGAGTCTGATGCGTTCTTTCTAAATTGTTAGATATATGTATGACCTGTCACCTGGTTTTAGGGTTGATTTTACAGGAGGAAGAGACATCATAGCAGGGGTAAGGCCCAGGTCCAAGTTAGCCAGACCCCAGACCCAGGCACACCCACAGCGGCAGCCGGAGCCTCCCAGGCCAAGAAGGGAAAGTGGCCACATCCTTATCCCCATAGATCTGAGGGGAATATCAGCGAGGGAGAGATTGCAACGCAATCCCGGAAGAGAGAAAACAGATGGCAGCAGAGAGGAGGAAGTCTAGAACATTTTCAAGGGGCCTGTCGCTGAGGGAGGAGCTGTCCACCCACACCTGAATGTGTATTTTAACATAAATCACAACTGTTAGTCCTCACTACAGTCGTGGGAAAAACAAGGCTTACATCTCTATGTTGAGATGGAAAGTCTAAGACTCAAAAAGAAAGGTTCATGGACTTACCCGGGGTCTGGGCAGCACCCGGACACAGACTGGAATCTTCTAACACCAGGGCCACTGCCCTTTCAATGCGGTTTCCACAACAGAAGCAGTGAACTCGTGGATGTGGGCTAGAACATTTGAATTATAAAGATGTGTAGATTCAGTTGTTGGTTGCCCTGTGACACTAACAGGCAATGAAAACAAAAAGTCACAAAACAAATAGTATTATTCAGAAAAAAAGGCAGAGAAGACCCCTTCAGAAGGAAATATGGGGATATAGGGCATCGGTTGGTTTAACGAACCTAAAGCCAATATTTGAATTAATAAGCAAAAGACTTGGAAGCAACCATATTTTTCATGAATAAGAGGTGGGCTAAGTAAGTTTTGTCACATCCATATTATGAACACTATGTGGTCATTGAAGAAGGGGCAGGTTTGTCTGTCGATATGGAATGGTTTCCAAGGTCTGTAGTTTACAGTTTTAAATGTTCGAAACAGCACGGATCGTATGCCTCTGCTCATACAAGTAAAAGTATGTAAATAGGGCAGACGACCTGTGACAGTCACACAAGGCGGTGGGGACACTTACCGTCCCTGAGGGGGAGAGCAGGATATGGGAACACAGATGGCAGGGAAATGTTTTTATGGCAACCCTTTTTCTGTCTTTCAAATTTTGTTTCACGTGAGTGTATTATTTATTCAAAATAGTGAACCATTACTTATTTGCAAATACTACATTCTCCTTTAAAAAGAAAAGGTTACACACTGGATTAGCAATTCACTAAGTCAACATTTTCCCAGACCATAGTTCCGAATCTATACTGAAAAATATACATAGATTAAATGGCTGAATGAGCATAAAGTGTATTGTACAGTATATCATGTGCCTTTAAAATGACAAAGGTTTCAATTATAATATTGCACAGAGTAATGAAAACAGAGGATGGATCAGAAACTGCAGAATAATATCAACAGCAATTTTCTTCCCCAAATAGTAGAGAAATTGAAATACAGAAAAGAAAACTGAAACTAAAGATGAAATAGAACTATATTGATGGCATCTATTAGAGCATGAAAAAGTAGGTAAATTATTAAGAATATAAATAAGTAATATGAATTTAACAGATCCTTAAAGAAAACACATAGGAAATGTAGGGAGTTGCTAAAACGCCTGATTCATGTTGGCATGCAGTAGTCATTCCATAAATGGTAGCAAGATTGTGCATAGAAGTTACATGAATGAAATCTAATAAAACAGCTTTCTTTTACATATACCGATTAAACACAAAACGAACTTAAACCACAGTAGTGTGTGTCGTAGAACTGCATGAAGTGGAGTCCCTGGCCCTTTGCTGACATCCTTTCTTGCACCTGGAATGCCCCCCAGCCCCATCCCCACTCTGGCTGCTTCTGCTGTGGCCGTCCTCTGGGCTCCCATCACCCCACACCTACCCCCATCTCTGCCCTCTCTCTCCTGGTTGCACTTGCTATGTTCATGAGGGAGGAGGGATGTGGGTTGGGTGCGACCGAGCTGTACGACTGATGGAAACTCTCTATTTGGAAGGTGCTCGTGAAGTGGCTTTTGCTGCCCACCCACTGGGCTGCATGCTTCAGAGGACAGGAGCTATACCTCTCTCACCACGGACCAAGGCACCAAGAGCACTTCCCACCATGCAGCAGAAACTCCACAAGCCGTAGGGGAATGAATGTCGATGGGAAGGTTAAAGGAGTGACAAGGGCCTGCCCAAACTAACACGGTACAGCAAAAGCTGGCAGAGTGGGTGGTGCCGCGTGTTTATTTTCACCACCACAACCACCTGCCCCTTCTTCTCTCTCCTCTTAGTCTTCAAATCCCAGATCTTTAAAGAAAAAGAGAAATTCCACATAAAATGTAAAACTAGAGGGCTATCCTCGTGACACAAAAGCTAGTGAAGAAAGGCGGCCCAGAGCCAAGAGTCTTTGAGGATGTCACCACCCTCCTGCCCATGGGAGGAAAGAAGGTGTCCAGAAAGCCTCATCAGGGTGCCCGGAGAGCTCTGTGGCCCAGGGGACATGGATGGTGGGAGTCTGGATCTCACAGTTGTCTGGGTCAGCGGGGAGGAGGGCTGAGGGCTGGGTGTGAGTGGGGTGTATGGCTGATGGACGCAGTATTTGGAAATCCTTTTGTGGCTCCAAATCAGCAAAATTTAAGAAGGGCGGAGGCAACTGGCTGGGCAGCTTGGTGGCTGTAAACAGAGTAAGGATAGCAGCATTATCAGCAGGTACCACGGAGATCATGGCTAGTTTTGGAACTTCAAGGAAAAAGAATCCTAAAGGCATCCAGCCAGAATGAAATATATATAATTTTGTATATAAAATAGAACATCCGTTGAGTTAGCTTTAGTTTTCATCAAAAACTTAAGAGTCCAGAAAACAGCAGAGAAACCTCTAGAGAGGGCTGGAGGGTATGAAACTCGAATATTGTGTCCAGACCTGGAAGTATTCACGCCTGAGGGTAACAGAGAGGCAGCCTGCACAAGCACCTGATTTGAACGTAGGAGTTTTAAACTCTTCCTCAATATGAAACTCAAAATGTCACAGGTATTAACTTGAGACATAATAACAATCCTTGACCAAGACGTTCACGGCATAAAAACACGGGCAGTGAAGAAAAACACATTCAAACACAGCATCTGAAGAAAAACACATTCAAACACAGCGTATACAATTCCAGCAAATGTGTCCAGATAGCTACAAAACAAAATGCAAAGGTCTGTCCTTGTTTATTGAGATAATATATAATGAAAAATAGTAATTGTTTGGAAAAAGAAAAAAGGGAAACTGGGCTTAAATACAGTTAAAGCCAGTAACTATATTTAAACCAGTTTCTCTTCTTTTCCCAAACAATTACTGATTATCTAATTGTTTTTCCATGAGGAAAAACTTGGGAGAAGATAAGATTGTAATAAGAAAAAAAGTGTGTTTTGCCTCATTTTCAGATGAGATAATCAAAAGGCTATGTTTTATTCCTGGAGTTTATTGTTAGAGTAATATGAGTCCTTAAAATTTTTAATAGTAAATCATGGTTTTTAAAAGGATATAGATCCTATAAATCTTGAAAGAACAAAAAATATAGAAATAAAGGAAATCATAAGAAAGCACCTAAAACTAACTACAACAAAAAAAGAAAAAAGAAAAAAAAAAAAACAAGAAAAAAACAAGAAAAAAAAAAAAAAAAAAAAAAAAAAAAAAACAAGAAAAAAACAAGAAAAAAAAAACAAGAAAAAAGTCAATTGTGACAATAAATGTAAGTAGGATAAACTCACCTAGTAAAAGGAAAAAACGCCCAAGTCATAGAAAAAGAATCTATTTTATTAGGTCGGTGCAAACGTAGTTGTGGTAATATGCCAAGATACATAACAAAAAACTTCAACTCAGGTTGAAATGACAACCATAGGTTCAGATGTATAATCAAACAAAAAGAAAGCATGATTGCAGAATTAACATTTGATCAAGTAAAATTTCAGACCCCAAATGGTCTGTTTTATTTATGAACCTTTTAGTGAATAATACATCCTCAACACAGAGTCAGCAAAAACCTGACTTTAGTATCAGAAGAAATAGACAGGGGCTGGGCACAGTGGCTCATGCCTGTAATCCCAGCACTTTGGGAGGCCAAGGCGGGCAGATCACCTGACGTCAGTAGTTCGAGACTACCCTGGCCAACATGGTGAAATCCGTCTCTACTAAAAATACAAAACTTAGCCTGGCGTCATGGTGGGCACCTGTAATTCCAGCTACTCCAAAGGCTGAGATATGAGAATCACTTGAACCCTGGAGACGGAGGTTGCAGTGGACGGAGATTGCACCACTGCACTCTAGGCTGGGTGATAGAGCAAGACTCCATCTGAAAGAGACCAAAAAAAAAGAAGAAGAAGAAGAAATAGACAGAAATAAAGTAGCAGCAGCAGACTCTAGTACATACCTCTCACTACTTGACAGATCTCAAAGGTAAAAGCAAATTAGAATGCCAAGTATTAGAATTAGAATAATATAATTTTTGAAAGGTTGATTTGAGGGATAATAAACTCACAGCCCTGAGAAAACATACACCTTTGTTTAGAAAACGTGGAGAAATCATCTGCAATAGCATCAAAAAATGTTCAATCTCTCTCC